ATATATATATATATATATATATATATATATATATATATATATATATTTATTAGTCCAAATATCGGGGATTAATGTTGTGCTAGGTGGCTTGATATGCGCCCACATCATGTAATAAATATAAAGTATAATAGTAATGTGAGTATGTTTGTTTTATATTTTGTTTACGAATTTTGTTTATTTGTAATTGATATCACATTAAACATGTATGGCCAAGTGCATAACATCTTTATGATGAATGGGACAAACCCTATATGGAAATAAAACTTAGGTTGTCCAATCCTAGTGCAGTGATGAATACTAAATAAGGTATGATAGATCATGAAACCAATGTCTAGTACTCTTTCTCAATAAGTGTGGAGTTGTTCAACAATAAATCATGTTAGGAAAACCTAGCATGAATGATATAGTAAACCGAAAAAACAAGACTCTAATAAGATATGGTATAAATTATATGATTAACCACTCTTTTTGACTAGAGTCAATTTATGGAGAAACTTCGGAGACATTAGATTGTATCCAGGATAAGGTGCTAAGTAAAGCAATAACCTTCACTTATTATGAGCTTTGGATTAATAAAAGGCCAATAATTATGCACTTACTCGTATGGGTTATCCACCTAAGGCTAGGACTTATAAGCCACATGAAGAAGAATATGGATTCTCGAGCCCACAACATAAGTTTGGAATGCCCTCCCGACCTTAAGCTTATGTCTGGATTGCTCCCGGGTTTGTTGGCTTCCGCAAAAAGCAGTATTGCCTCAACCCAACCACACTATGTCGACATCTGCAACAAATAAACATATAGATTGCAAATAGATAATCGTATAACTAGTAACCGATAAATAGATAGATATACAGATTAATACAACATAGCAACATCTTATATACCAGGATACGTCATCCGACCTAGTGGGCCGGCCTTGGTGCCTTCGACCCACAAGTATAGTGAGGAAAACTCACATCAATGTTTGAAAGATAGCTGAACTGAATGTTGCTCCAAGTATCGGCTCTACGGGTCACCTTTACAACACATAGGGACCAAGCCTCAATCTACTATGCAAAATACCCCAAATGACCTAAAGTTAAACTTGGTTAAAGTCATCGGTCATCGGTCAATGATCAAAAGTCAACCTCCAACTGGTCGCCATGCCGTGGCTGCTAAACCACAAGGCATATGGGTTCCTACCCAGTCGCCGCATCGTGGCAACCTAAAGCCACGTCGTGGGGACTGGTCTGGACAACTTAATCCATTAATCCATTTTACTACAACTTCAAGAGTTCCAAATCCCAGATCTGGTCCTTCCCACAGTCATGATGGATAATGTTTCTAGCTCTATCCATTAAGACTCCTCAACAAGTCAAGATCCCAAATCCTAATTCGACTAAATGCATAAAGAAACTTAATAAGCACCCAATCTCCAGAGTTGCTCACCCAAAGCTTCTAGAAGGGTTTCGTACTCCTAATAAGCCCTAAAAATGGTAGCTTTATGGACATGCATGTCCAACGCATGTCCCTCCATTTTAGGCCAAAAACATGGCAATAAGGTCTTAAATTTGAGCATGGAACCAAAAACTACATAGATCCTCAGATCTAGAACATATGACAATAAAATGATCACATGGATCCATAAAGTTGCCAACTTTATGAGATCCAACCTTACAATTTCTCACACCATTAATATTTAGTTTCAAAAGGTCTAGATCTAGAGATAAATAACAAAAAGATTGGATCTTAGGGACTTACAAGAGTCCAGAAAAGAGCTCAAGGTAAATGGTGAGAGTTGCTTGCTGAAACAAAGCTCAAGGGTGCTTTCGTCTTCTTCTTCAAAACACCACCAAAATGCAAAAATCTCAAAGGTTAGCAATGGAGGATAGGGTTTGATCTTGGAGGCTGAGGGAGAGTGATTAAGGTTGAGGGTGGGAAACCCTAGCCATCAAATTCTCTTAAATAGTGGCTCAAAGCCCGGATCAGGGTTTACTTTAAACAACAGTCACGCTGTGGCAAATATATGCTACGCCATGACACTAGGTTAGTGTCCATGAAAACTCTGGCCGTGGCTGTGTTGAGGGACTCCATCACCATGCCGTGGCCACCAGAGATCCAACTTCCAAATTATTAAATTACTTAAAAGGAACATACTCGAAAATTAGTGTTACAATCCCCCCACCACCTTGAATCAGACTTCGTCCTCAAAGTCCTCGGCTGCAACTAACTCTGGGTAGTGCTCCCACATTTCTACCTCGGGTTCCCAAGTCCACTCGGAACCCTTTCGGTGATGCCACTGGACCTTGACCAAAGGTACCACCTGGCGCAAGCCCTTCGTCTTCCTGTTAAAAATCACTACCAGCCTCTCCACATAATTCAGGCGCTCATCCACCTGAATGTCATCTAATGGGATCACTGCTGAATCGTCGGCTACACATTTCCAGAGCTGAGCAACGTGAAAGGTGCTATGAATCTAGCGAAGCTCCTCATGCATATCTAAACGGTAGGCAAACTTTCCTACTCTAGCTATCACTCGGAATGGTCCAATAAATCGGGGCCCTAACTTTCCCCTCTTCCTGAAGCGTATAACACCCTTTTATGGTGATACTTTCAGCAACACCATATCCCCAACCTAGAAATCTAACTCGGATTGCCGTTTACCGGTGTAACTCTTCTGTCCGCTTTAAACTGTCTGCAACTTTTACCTGATCTGTTGGATGAATTATGTCTTTTGGAGGACTACCTTGGTCCTCCCTATGACCCTATGACCGACCTCTCCCCAAAAAACTATCGTACGACACATTCTCCCATAGAGAATCTCGTACAGTGGTGCACCAATAATGGAGTGATAGATTTTGTTGTAAGAAACGCAGCTAGGGAAGGTAGGAATCCCAACTACCAGTGAAATGAATAACACACTCCCTCAGCATATCCTCAAGCTTCTGAATGGTCCGATCGCTCTGACCATCAATATGAGGGTGATAAGCACTTCTGAAATGCAGTCTCATACCCAACTACTCTAGAACTTCTACCAAAACCGGGAAGTAAACCGCACATCACGGTCAGATAAAATAGACACTGGCACACTGTGGCAAGAAACGATATCGCGCACAAACACATAGGCTAATTTCTTAGCCGAAGAGCTCTCTCGGATGGCGAGAAAATGGGCACTCTCGGTTAACCAATCCGCGATAACCCAAATCGCATCAAACCCCTTGGCCGTCCTCGGAAACTTGGTTATGAATACATAGTGATCTATTCCGATTTGCACATGGGAACCTCCAAGGGCTGCAACTTGCCATGCGGCCGTGCTCAACCTTGACCATCCGACAGGTCAATCATCTCTCCACATACCATGCAATCTCCCTCTTCATGCATGGCCACCAATAACTCAGCCTCAAGTCCCGATACATCTTGGTGGCCCTAGGGTGGATCAAGAATCTAGTCTTATTGTCCTCCTACAAAATTTCATGTCGAACTCCTCTAGAAAATAGGACCCAAAATCGACCGCACCAGGTCAAAAGCTCATGACTATTGATAGCAAATCTGTCAATATCGCCTCAAATGCTCTTATTCTATCAGCTTTTTCTCTTGACTCCCTTGTCCTGAGCCTCCCTGATCAAATCCAGTAGTGGAGAGCTGATGGTCATCCTCAAACAATGCTCTCGGGTAGGAGTACTAGCCACCTTGTGGCTCAAAGTGCCGGCGACCACATTAGCCTTTCTTGGGTGATACAAAATCTTGCACTCATAAACCTTGAACACGTCAAGCCACTTACGTTGTGTCATGTTTAGATTCGGCTTATCCATGAGGTATCTAAAACTCTTGTGATCTATGTAGATGGTACATCAGACCCCAAAGAGATAGTGTCGCCAGATCTTGAAGGCAAAAACCACAGTCTCCAACTCCAAGTCATGCGTCAGATACATGGCCTCATGAAGCTTCAACTGTTTGGATGCATAAGCAATGACTGTACCTCTTTGTATGAGGACCGTCCATAAACCTATGATAAACGCATCATAAAATACCACAAAATCCTCAACGCCCTCAGGGAGGGTCAATACCAGGGCCTCACATAAGTTCCTCCTCAAAGTCTTAAATGCAGCCTACTGCTCAGGCCCCTAACAAAAATCTACACCCTTCTTCATCAGGCAGGTCATGGGAACAACAATCTTAGAGAAATCCTAAATAAGTCTCTTATAGTAACCTGCCAATCCTAGAAAACTACGAATCTTAGATGGGGATTTCGGAATCTCCCACTGCATCACTGCCTCATTCTTGTCCGGATCAACCAGAATCTCGTTCTGATTGACGAATTGTCCTAGAAACTGGACCTCTCATAACCAGAACTCGAACATGGTCTCTGTACATATGATGAGACCCATCGTTTTTCTTCACAAACAAAATTGATGCTCCCCAGGGTGAAGTAATCGGTCTGATAAACTTCTTGCCCAACAACTCCTGAAGCTAAGAGGACAACTCATTCATCTCAGGTGGTGCGAGGCAATACGACGCATTGGTAATCGGCGCCGCACCGGGGATCAGATTGATCCTGAACTCCACCTGCCTCACGGGAGGCACACCAAATAAATCCTCCAGGAATACACACTACTATAAAAATACCCTTTAATGACGCGCAAACCATGACACCCGCTGTTTTACGATACGCAAAAGTGTGTGCCCTAAAAATAATGTCAGTTCTTTCAAAATGTGAAGGATATAGGACGCGTATTTTTGCGTGCCCTAAAATTTGTGTCAAAAAAAAGCGGAGGGCACTTATCTTAAAAAGCGAATCGTGAAATCATGTCACTTTATATTTTGTTTAATGGAATGCGCATCTTCCAGCCGGAAATGGAATTCCCAAAAAATTAGAAAAGTTGAAAACCCCGCCATGGCGATTTAGGGTTGGTTCCGTCTCCATCTCTCATTCACTTCCATCTACAATCTTTCTTTCCGGCGATGAAGGTTTCTCATGATTTTTTGTTATACTTACAAGCCCTAGGTCCTGATGCGTGATGCGTGCATATCTTGCACCTGATGCATCCCCTCTTCCAGTACCGATCAAGCTTCAGAATGATTGTTATCCCTCCGCCTTCCCCTGTGAATATGCTCCCACCTCCCATAATGTCAAACTCCTGAAACTGCCTCCACGATTGATTGAAGTTTTTGTATGTTAGTCTTGAACCAAAATCAGTTCCACGATTGATTGAAGTTTTTGGAGAAATCTCGGCAGTGAATTTCATTGAAGTCTAGTTCTGAAATATGAAGATTTTAGCTTTGAATCTTATTGAAATGAGCTGAATCATTAAGTGAAATTTTGCAGCGAAGTATGGATCTAAATCAGAAGCGAACCAAAACGGTTGACCGAGTCGATCCGGTTGATCCTGCTGAGGTGTCGCCGGAATCAACTCCGGTGTATCTGTTTCCTGACAAGGTTCTAGAACCGGTGCTCTCGCTGATAAACTCTCACAAGGACCGCAGTTCCGTGTCTGTAGTATGTAAAGATTGATACAGCGCTGAGCGGTGGAGCAGACGTCATGTGTTTATCGGAAATTGCTACTCGGTGTCGCCAGAGATTGTAGCCGGGAGGTTTCCTCAGATTTGGAGCGTGACCTTGAAGGGGAAACCGAGGTTTTCGAATTTCAATTTAGTACCGGAGGATTGGGGAGCTGATGTTCATCCATGGTTGAGTGTTCTCGCCAAAGCGTATCCATTACTGGAGGAGCTGAGACTGAAGAGAATGGCAGTTTGCTACTCATTGCAGGTAAAATTTCTACTTTTCTTCTCGATGTTAGAGCTAAATATGTTCTCCAAGGTGCATCAATCACTTTATCTGTTCAACATCTGCCGTCCCAATTCATATGAATTTGTCAAATTAGGTTTCGTTTGCTGTAAGAGACATAAATCTGATCACTTTACTCTTGTGTTTGATCTTGATGTTATCAGATCACACTAATTTTGTTGTTATTGTTTGAAAATTTTGAAGATCTGGAAGTTTTACACATTCATATCCATTTTTTTGAAGATCTTATACCCCTCTTATCTACAGAGCAGTTCCCTGCTGGTACCCTATTTTTCCTTATCTCCTGTGCAAGTTTAAACTGTTCTTTCATTGTCCTTCAAATCTGTTTTTTTTACCATTTCCCTTCAAATCTGTTTTTTTACCTTAGTTATACATCATGGTTTATTTCCCAAGCTCTTTAGGTTCTCTATATTCAAACTATGAATCATCCTTGCCCTTTGTTTCTTTTTGGGAAAACTAGTATAGGTTGCTTTCTTCAAGTTCCTTCCGCTCATGATTGGCTATTTTTCTTTATCTGTCCCATCGGGATTGTCAATTTATTGGTCAGTTTTTATAAATGTCGATTATTTTTATATTATAAATTTATAATCAAACTAAGTTGACGTGTTATTAATTATTAGGTTTACAAACAATATGCTGAGTACAGCTCAACAAGTATGGTTAAGAAAATTGTGGTTAACAGGTACAATAAGGAGTATCCTTTTAAAGGAATGGACATTGTCATGGGAGCATGGCCATTTCTCAGCTTGTTTCATCACCTGAAGTACTTGGTGAGTATAATAATAAAATATATGAGAAAATAAGTAGAAGATGCTTCTAAGTGAAAGCAAAATAAGGACAGTAAGAAATTAAATTCATCATATGAGCGTATGGTTTTCACTTTTGAACATGTTTGTTCTGTTTCCTGTGTTTTTCAAATAAGAGATATCAAGAAAAAAAATTGGAGCAACTGATTAATGCTTCTTAATTATTAAGTAGGTGTTAACAAAAGTAAAATGAAAGGATCCATATTTTCTGATATGATTTATATATTGTTAAAAGATTTGGTGATGGACTTGTGAAAATGCTTAGAACGACTAGATTATATATTACATTTAGAAAGGTTTCATGTTTGTTTTGATATCAAATAGTATGAAAGCTTTTGATTCAATTTCTTTCTTTCAAGTTTCAAAACAAGGGACAAACCGGATTGGCAAAAAGGAAATTCACGAAGGGCAGGGGCAGTGGTGCAAAGGAACAAAGGATGGGCGGATGCAGCCAAACAAGCCTATGCTCATGACTTCATTTCTTCTTTACCTGAAGGCTATAATTGGGCCATTAGCAGTCAACAGTCTACTTAATGAGTCAATGCAATCTCATTCCTTAAAATTGTCTCCAACATTGTCATTCCAGGTTTGTGGGCTTCTGTTAAATGTTTTTTAAATTAAGTAAAGTGTCCACTTTTAATGCTGTTGCACAAAATTACAGGAATACCCTCCTGGAGTAAAATGGACATGGCCATGACCAGGAACATTGTGTAGAGCTTGTGAAATATATGTTGTGATTTTTTACCAGAAATTCACTATTGTAACGATTATATACCAGAAATGCCCCTGGACATGGCCAAGCTTTCCTTTTAACCTTCCTTCTATATATCCAGAAAAAAATCATTTAATAGGTTGAAGACTGTAGAACTTGTGAAATATAAGTTATTAATTAATCATGAATCACTGCTAACATCAACTTTAATATCAGTATGTAAACCAAATAATAGAAAAATATGGCACGTATATTTAATTTTTACATGTAAAAATTAATCAACCCTTGCTTACTAGCTAACAAATAATAGAAAAATATAGCACGTGTTCAGGGATTGATGCCTTATAGTCAAATACAAATCACTCATTGCAAGTTGAACTCAGAGAACGCAATGAACAATACAATCAACTTTGGGTTAGTTGCCAGAGACAGGTTGCTTTTCAGTCAATGCATGGAATGCCAGCTTTCTTTTAACCTGGACAACTGGAGGACATGTTGTTGCTGTTACTGGAGATGGAAAAAATGATGTTCCTACTCTACATGAGGTAAAAATTAAAGATTTTTTATGATCAATTTAATTATTTTTACTGTATTTTAGTTATATGTTTTTTATTTTGAAATTGAAACTGTAGGCTGATATTGGTCTTGTTATGGGCATCCAAGGAACTGAAGTTGCAAAAGAAAGCAGTGACATCCAAGGAACAAATGATGCCAGCTTTCATTTAATTTGTATTGACCCCGTTAATGCAGTCCAAGTCTCTCTCTTTCTCTCTCTCTCTCTCTCATGCCAAAATATCAAGTCAAAAGCATTGTCAAATAATGGCAACTTACTTTGTATTAATAATTGTATAACAATTTCTTAATTTTCAATTCAGCTTCTTTGACTGAATCTTATCATGGACTCTTTCTTCCATCAGATCAATGTCAATTCCCTTCGCACCATGAATTGTTATAATGGTGGCTGTGGGAACTGGGAAGCATAACTACATTCATCATATTCTTTCTACCCCGCATTACATTTTCACAATAGGTATTTATTTATTTATTTGCAAAAGGACATGATCGCCCTTGAAACCTGCTTTTATGGATTTTTTGTTAAACAGCATGAGCTTGTATGGTTGGAATGAAAAGCCAGAGTCAATAACTACCTTGAGTATCGAAAAGATGAGTGATGCGTACATATCAATGGCAAGGAAAGATAAGGTATGTGCTTGTTGAGGAGCTTGGACATGGCTAGAATTGATCACCTCAGAAGATATACAGTGTGATACAACAATTTCCTTGTAGAATTAGTAATCCATAATTAGATACAGTAATTTCCTTTTTTTTTTAATATATTTATACGTTTATTTCTACTTAGTTAAATATAATTATATCTTAGCTTGTTACTATAATATGTTTTTCCATTGACATGGTAGCTATTAGGAGACCTCGAATAAACATCAAGCTTCAGTTCATTTCATTTATATATCTTTAAAAAGGTATAAAGGAAAAACACAATATTGTTTAATGCTTCATAATTACATGTTTATATTCTCAAATTATTTAAACACCACACATTTTTATATACATTGGTTGAAGATATTTCTGTATAAAGTTTTAAGTGTATAACATGTTTGTATCAGAGAGAGAGAGAGAGAGAGTAAACAGAAGCTTGAGGAGTTATTACAGAAGTGGTCTGAATGGCATAATCGACATTAATCTTCATCTCATGTAAATTGCTTGTATTTTTATTTTTTATTTTTATTTATGTTCGTAAATATCTAAATTTCTCAATTGTTCAGGATTCAAATGTTGAGGTGGAATCTGGTGAATGGATCTATTTTCCAGCTCTTATCAATATCACCACTTTGTTAAAAAGACCAAAATACCCTTATGTTGCCTTCTGAAACATGTGTATTGTTTTATGTAGTCGTTCTGGATGGATGGGCAAACTAGTAATTTACTGTTGCTATTATGAAGGTATGTTGTTGCTATTATGAAGGTATGCCACTCCAGTTGTATTTTTCACATAATTGACAAGGAGCTGTTGTATCTATTCAGACTAGGCTTAGAGAAATGGTTGCAAGAGATGAGTTCAGAAGAAGAAGAGGAAGAAACAAGGCTGCAACTATAGTTCATGTACTATGGATGAATTATGTTTGTAAAGTATTTAAGAAAATTATTAGAACAAGGGTGAATTTGTAAAGGGGCAATGGATTGTATTTTTTGTATCTAATTAGTATGTAAATTTTTGTTACAACTTCTATTGATTTTTTTTATCTTTCCATGGAACGATTATTTGTATGACATTAAAATTTATGCAATGGATTGTATTTTTTGTATATGATATTTTATTGTCTATTACGAGACAATAAATACAAATTTAATTTGAAAATTGGTAAATCTATAAATAACATTTTTTTTAAACATTTAAAATTACGATATGCAAAAATGATACACAATGCGTGTCCTAAATGCGCGTCGCAAGGTTACGATACGCAAATGCGTGTCGTCTTTCTTTATGACAGGGCCTTCCTTGATACGCATTGTGTGTCGTAAATGAGCGTCGTAAATGCGTGTCGTAAATGCGCCTCGTAAATAGACGATGCGCAAAAGCGCGTTGTCTTTCGTTATGACATGGCCTTCCTTGACACGCATTTGCGCATCGTCTGAGCGTTTTACGACACACATTGCGCGTCATAAAAGGCTGTTTTTCTAGTAGTGACATCTGGAGACTCCCTTACCACTGACACATCTGAAACCAAAACTCTCCTCTCATCCCGGGTGTCAACTACATATACGAGGTAACCCAAATACCCATACTATTGATATCGCAGAGCCCTGGCAGCAGAACAAAAGGCTGAACCGACCCTGATACCCTCGCAATATATAGTTAGTTCTCCCCCACTTGGTGTTTGAACTATCACCAGCTGTCTCTCACAATCAATCATGGTGCCAAATCTGCTCAGCCAGTCCATCCCTACTATCATGCACACAGTCCTGGAAAACACTCAAAGCTGCAACCCTATGTTCGTCAGCAATGGAGACTCGCAATGGGCACTCCGTCTCCCCAATAGTTACAACAAAATACCTACTGAAGGACTGAGATACAAAAGACCAACTGGCACTCGAGTTAAAAAGCACATGAGCATGCAAAGAGTTCACTTGGAATATACTTATTAGAAATAAAACATAAGTAAACAAGGAATAACTAACAAGATAATAATATATACATACTAGTAACAATGTCAGGCACCCCCTTGGCCTCCTCTGATGTGAGCTAAAACACACGACCCCTTGCATTTTAGGCCTCAGCTCTCCCTTGGAGCCCATCTGTAATCCTCAAAGTAGACAGGGCTGGTGTCTGAATTGCTCTGGTGATCAAGGGACAGTTGGCCTTCACATAGGCAACCTGATCACAATGGTAGCAATTCCTGGTGCTCGACAGTGGGGCCTGCTATGACAAACCCTCGCAATATGGCCCTCCCTACCACATTTGTGGCAACTAGTAACTGATCGATATGCGCCCTTGTGCGCCTTCCTGAACTTTCTATAAGTGCGGCCTCTATGAACTCTAGATCGTTAATCTGCGGGCTTGAACCGCTTTGATGTCGGCTGTGACTGAGATGGGGTCTACCTCTTCTCTATCTTCTAGGTCTCAATCTCAATCTCTCTCCTCCGAGGGAAATACTAAAGCTCAGAGAGAGAGAGAGAGAGAGAGCTGTAACGCTGGGTAGACACAAAATCTCTGATCTCCGTCTTGAAAATGCTCAAGTAATAGGACATCTGAACCTACTTCGATGCAGCATAACCGGAGCAGAAAACGGATCTCTCCATAAACACTTTGGTGATCTTCATAATTGACTATGTTGTCTGCTTCAACGATAGATACTCCTTGGCTAACCTCTCTCTCTCTCTCTCTCTCTCTCTCTCTCCACCAGTGGTACATACTCAACATGAAACATCTCGGTAAACTGATACCATGTCACTTCGGCTTTCTCCGTAGGAGAATAAGTACTGCTCATGAACTTCCACCTGTCCTTCGCCCCCAAACGAATAAGGTTCAGGATGCACCTGACCTTCTGGTCCTCCGAACACGAGAAAGTGAAGAAACAACCATCCACATCTGATTACCACCTCGTAGCAATGATCGGGTCCTTGACCTCATCAAACTCCGGGGACTTTGTATGGCTGAAGTCCCGGTAGTGAAATGACCCTCTCACCTAGAGTCCCGCAATAGCAATATCGGTAATGGCTTTGACAACAAAAGCCTCGAAGACGACAACATAGTGCTCGTTAAAAATCTCGATAATGGCAGTCCTGATAGACCAAAAGAACTCCGGGATCACCTCACGAATAGCCACAATCACGTATGTCATGATCATCTCACAGATATCATCTCCAGTCAATCCTGGCCTCTCTGGGCCGCCAACTCGTGATCCAGAACTTCTAGTGATCGCCATACTGAAAAACAAATCAGAATACATCTGTAAAGCCATAACTCACACTATATATTCATCAAGGGATTATTACATCTTTGGGGTTCGCGAATTCCCTGATACGTGTACGGGTCCTATGATTTAAGTAGAACGGGTCCATACTACCTTCTACACCTACCTCGTATTTGTCTTGGAGGATTGTCGCAGACCACCCGGCTACAAAGACCAAATACTAGGATATATATATATATATATATATATATATATATATATATATATATATATATATATATATATATATATATATATATCCTATACTCACTCTATCGAGAGTGGCTAATCATTCCTCAAGCTGGCCTACTACAACCCATACTCACCCACGAAACATCCATTAACCCTGCAGCCGCTCGTATATGCTAATCATACATAACACTGGATTCAATAGATAGTCGAATGCCTGATTCTACCCTAAGCCCACAACCCGGAAAGGAAAAGGAAATAAGGTTAAATCAAACATTCTCAGGCTATAAAATCTTAGTTATGTACAACTATTATGCGTACACTAAGTAACTACAATAATAATGTTAGTTCCATATAATATAACAAGAAATTCTCCTAAGTTAACATACATCATACATCCAACAGTTCTATAATGCAATTCCTGAAGATAATTCGCCTACATACTAGCATGAAATTCTATCATATCATCAATACACAAAAAAATGTGTGTATCTTGGGGAATCACACTCCTTGGCTCCGACTAATTTTACACATCACATCCTTTTCATCATTCTTTCGGAGTTAAATTTTGAAAAACATTTTTGTAGATCCTTAGTTTGAGTTTGGACTCACACAGGTGTTCATCTAATTCTTTCAAACCAGGGTTGTGGTATGATAGGTCATAATATAATAGTTTGGGCTAGGCATCCATCTTGTATAGGTCTTGGTAGGATTTTGGGCTTTGTATTGGTGTATGTAGCTTGTGTGTGGCTATGTACGGACGAACTCATGTGTACGGCCGTACAGACGTACACCCGTGTACGGCTGTACTCGCGTGTACAGCTGGTCGTCCTATAAATAGAGTGTGTCTGTCTCAGTTTTAGGGTGAAGTATGTGTGTGTATCCAAGGTGTACCTGGCGTTTTGTGATATTAATGTGTGCATGCTTGGTTTAATCTTTCCTCTACTCCATTCTTATTCTGATTGATTGCTATCTGTTTGATCACTGATTTGGATCATTGAAATCAGGACTTACAATTGGTATCAGAGCCAAATCAGTGTCAAAGTGGATCTTCGTGGGTGTACGGCTAGAAAAACTTCATCATTTCTGAGACTAATTCGAGATTACTTATTGAGTTTCTTCTTCTAATCAACATTCAAAGGCTTAGAATCAAAAACTTACTCGGAAATTCAAGTGTTTTTGGTGTGTATGGTTAAACCTAGTGTGTACGGTTGAGCTTAGTTGAAGCGTGTATGGCCGGACTCGCGTGTACGGCCGTACTCCATTCAAGATCCTTGACTGTAATCAAGTGTACGGTTGGCGTGTACGATTGGCGTGTACGGTTGCGCGTGTACGGTTGTCGTGTACGATTGGCGTGTACGGTTGGAGTGTACGGTTGGCGTGTACGATTGATTGAACTTCTTAATTTTAAGTGTTTTTCTTGTTAAGTTTTTCAATCTGTTCATTTCTGAAAAGCCAAAAACAACAAACAAAAATGGATTCTCAAAACTCAACAATTCATCAAGAACTGGACTCCATTATGGGAACAACTACACGAATTCCTAGACTATTATCTGCTGAGGGTTTTCCAGAATGGAAATACCGCATAGAAAAATATATCAAAATGAAAGACTTCAAAATTTAGAGAAGCATTTTAAGAGGACCAATTCGTATTTACCACAACACTCGAAGATGGATCAGTCGTTGACAAGAAAATTGAAAATTACACCGATGCTGACTTTGAAAAAATTGAAGAGCAAGAAAAAGAACTGGCTACACTCACAATGGCGTTATCCCCAGAGATTGCACAAGGTTTTAGAGAATACACTTTAGAAAAGGCTCTATGGGAAGCTTTGATTTAAGTATATGAAGGGAATGAGGATATGAAACAAAGCCGTCAAGACATTTTGAGACAGAAATTCAATATGTTTAATCACATCCTTGAAGAAACTTTGGAAGTTCAATTGCAACACTTTATCACACTTACCACTGAAATGAGTTCTGTTGGGGTTTCAGTGCCAAAATCAGAGGTCAACAAGAAGTTGCTTAATTCTCTCCCAAAGACATGGGATATGAATGTTGCTGTCATCAAGAAAACCAAGAATCTTAATCTGCTGAGTTTGGCTGAACTCATGGCCATCATTAAAGCTTGTGATCTGGATGACAAACAAAGAGAGATCAACCATGTTAACTCATATTCTCATGCTAATCTCGGAATACAATCAACCAATGCCTTCTCATCTTTCACC